TATCGATTATTGGGCGTTCTATACCACTATCGGCAGCGAGGCGCACTCGCCGAGCGACTTGCCGATAGTGGTATAGAATGCCCAATAATATACTACTATTATAATGTAATTATTTCTTCTACGTAGACAAGATTTTACATAGTACCTATCAATAAACTAATCTGTTTCAGTAACTATCTTTTAGAGGTATAACGTCTGTATTTCATGATAGAAAGCAATTGGCTGTAGATCAGATGACATGATCAGAACCGACAGTTGTCCGTATCTTGTCTAGCCAATAGCCTGCACGAACCACAGCCCCAAGCCTCAGATATTACATGCAGCTTTCCTGATTGAAAAACTTGATTGCTTTTTTATGAAACTGCATTTTCCTCTGTTTTCCAAGAAAATTGATTTTGTGGTAACCCTGTAAGCTTTTAAACCAGCAGTTCTTTTTTTAGTTTTGTTTTTTTTTGTGCAACTTAACTTAAGTGAAACGTCTGAATATATTGATCAAAGATCGAAGACTATTTGGTATTCAAATATTCAATGTATGCCTTCAAGTCCATTGAACAGATTTACTTTTTGAAGTGAAAATCTAAATTCCATTTGTAATGTTAGTGTGAGTAATTGCTCTTGGGGATTTTCTTATAGACGTGATTAGCATTAGGGAGAGATAATTAACCGAGGGATGCAAAGATTGTCCAAATTTTTCAATATTTTACGATCAAATTCATGTCAATCATGTATCGTGTGTGTTTAACAAATTAGGTATGTTTATACGTCAGATTTTCGAACAGTTCAAGTTATACAAACATTACTCAATAGTCTAGTCGTGAGGTTAAATTATGTCTATATTATATATAATCTAAGTTGATTAAACTGCCAAATACCAAGCGGTCACCGGTGACCGCAACCTATTGTTCTATAATTGTGTCTATAATGACGGTACTCGACGAGTTAATATATCAATATTGCATTAAAAATATTCTAACTCAGCACTTCTATAAAACCATAATATAACCCAATTACACACCCATATCCCTTACAAAGAGATCTATATAATCTGTACACAGCAAAAATTGTACATGGCGTCTTCAAGTCAAACGTCAAAATGCTGTGGCAAGTTTTATCGCATTCCGAAGTGCCTTTTTCACGAGACACCATTTCACGGGTCTCTGAAACCACTCCATTTCATGTGCACATGTTTTATAGGGTAACGTGTGTTTTTCGCAATTTCTTTTTACTCTCACCTTAGGGTACACTAAAAGTGGAAAGAATTTAATGAAATATATTCTAGTTAGGCTTCAAAGGTTGTTTGAGGTATCAAGGAGATTGAGTTGTGTGGGAACGAGGTTGTGCATAATGTATAGGAATTTGTATTACTCATATTTCGTCAGTTTTTTCTATAAGAAAAGTGATTGCACATGTTTCCGAACTGTGTAATTAAGAATTGTTCAGATATCATTACTAGTAGTATTTAACAAGACTTCAGAAAGAAATAAAGTCTTTAGCACTACAGGTTTCGATTTGTTTATTATTAACTATTCACTTATGTAGATGTAGATATTATGAACAGCAGGAATTTGCGATACAAAATAATTTTCTTTCCAAAAATTTTATTCTTGCTTGATACAGTGCCAAGTTTTAGTTAAAAGCTCCTTAAATCTTCGTCTTAAATCTGAAAACAATTTATTTTTGCTGCGCTTGATGTTTGGCAAGAGGAGAAAAGAAAATGTAAATACAAATCATATCTATCCTTTTTGCTTTTTGTACACTTGGCTTCAAACAATGCAGTTATGTTTTTTTTTTAAATAACGTTGTCCCACGCTAGGATTTTCTCCTGTGTCGTGGGTGCGTTTACAAACATACAAGTTCACATACACATGACACCCAAACCCGAAACAACAATTTGTGGATCACACAAAGTGTTGTTCCGTGCGGGAATCGAATCCGCGACACGTTGCATGGCAGCTGGTTGCCCAGCCACCGCACCAACCGAGCAGTCAGACTTTTTATCTTTGTTTGTAGAAGTAGAGTACGATGAACCTAGGCAATGAAAATAGTTCTAATGACAAAAATTGCGAGCAAACCCTTTTTATGAAATAGGTACCTTTTATATTATATATTTAAGTGTGGCAGACACATTAAAACCATATACCAAAATAAAGGACATAAAAACTATAAAAAGTAACTATGCTTAACTATGCTAACTGCTGATATATTATAACAAATGCTTAAATAGCTTTCCCATAAAGTCAATCGTATAACTAGCAATCAAAAAGTATTTACCTACATTCACAACCCAAAAATCTTTCACAACTCCATAAACGCCATACCATTAAATAATTTCGTTAGCTAATTCTACCAACTTTCATAGCAATCTGATGGTATCCCTTGGAATGGGATAATTAAACTGAATGGACTTATCTTCGCGCTCTAATTCTCTTATGGGGTGAGGGCAATTCTAAGTAGTATTAGCGTTTGAATCACGGGTAACAGAATTATGTTACGGGAACCAAGTCATTGGTATCTTCATTTTGATTACATTCTGAATGTAATATTATTATTTAATACTAGCGACCCGCCCCGGCTTTGCACGGGTGCAATATGCATGTATTATACATACAAACCTTCCTTAAGAATCACTCTATCTATTAAAAAAAACCGCATCAAAATCCGTTGCCTAGTTTTAAAGATTTAAGCATACATACGGACATACAGCGAAAGCGACTTTGTTTTATACTATGTATTGATGACTGCACGGCAGTGCACGGTTGGTGGGGTGGCTGGGCAACTGGCTGCCACTCAACGGGTCGATTCCCGCACGGAACAGCTCTTAGTGTGATCCACAGATTGTAGTTTCGGGTCTGAATGTGCTGTGTATGTGAACTTGTATGTTTGTAAACGCACTCACGACACAGGAGAATGAGATGAAATGACATTATAATAGAATCATTTGTCGCCAACTCTTCCCGCGGTTGTTCTATGACTAATAATCGCCTAACAGAAACCAAACTGCAGGGTTCTCTAACACTGACTTTTTGTAGATGATATTAGCAGTGGACTCTAGTGAGCTGCTGATTATAGCTCGCTTTGAGTGTTTAAGCCCAAAGTATCATCTATCATTTTACATGATTGTGATTGGTAATTAAAATGTAGGTTGAGTTCTACTGGAACGCCTTGTTGATTGAGTGGACACATATGCCATGGCTGAACAAGAGGACAGCCCAATTATTGGGATTTGGATTTCCATTTTTCAGTGACAGTTTGAAGTCTGGAATTGTGCCTGGTGTTTTTCGCAGTAAGTCATTAAATGAAATGCGATGTATTTGACATATAAATAAGTATAATGTTATTTGAAGTATAAAATGTTCTAGACTCGAGAACTAGTCTGAAATTCGTATCCACCCACGTTAACATTCATTACGTAATAACAATGTAAAAAAGCACGCCCAAAAACCTCATTTAAATACGTGTTCAAAAATAACAATTTTTGTAATAAAATATCATTTATTTAAAATATTGTTATTCAATTAGCTAAAGGCTGTGTTTTTTAATGTCAGCGATTATTATATTCAAGATATTTGGTGAATATCATCCTGTGGGTGGTACAGATGGTACGTGGGCTGAAAGGTTGTGCCCATACGCCTCAGAAACCTTTCATGTGTCAATTTCGCATAAATGT